GATAAGAATGGATCAATTTTCATTCTTCTACATGTTGTCCTCCAGTTGAACCAGCACCATTTGTTGAAAATGCTGTCCTTTTTCCACTGGACAGTTTTGGCTCCTTTGTCAAAGATCAAGTGACCATAGGAGTGTGGGTTCATTTCTGGGTTTTCAATTCTATTCCATTGATCTTCCTGCCTGTCTCTGTACCAATACCAGGTAGTTTTTTTTATCACTATTGCTCCGTAGTACAGCTTGAGGTCAGGGATGGTGATTCCTCCAGAACTTCTTTTATTGTTGAGAATAGTTTTTGCTATCCTGGGTTTTTTGTTATTCCGTATGAATTTGAGAATTTCCTTTTCTAACTCTGTGAAGAATTGAGTTGGGATTTTAATGGGGATTGCATTGAATCTGTAGATTGCTTTTGGCAAGATGGCCATTTTTATTATATTAATCCTGCCAATCCATGAGCATGGGAGATCTTTCCATCTTCTGAGATCTTCTTTGATTTCTTTCTTCAGAGACTTGAAGTTCTTGTCATACAGGTCTTTCACTTGCTTGGTTAGATTCACACCAAGGTAATTTATATTATTTGCAACTATTGTGAAGGGTGTCATTTCCCTAATTTCTTTTTCAGACTGTTTATCTTTCATGTAGAGGAAGGCTACTGATTTGTTTGAGTTGATTTTATAACCAGCCACTTTGCTGAAGTTTTTTTTTTTAATCAGATTTAGGAGTTCTCTGGTGGAAGTTTGGGGGTCACTTAAGTATACTATCATATCATCTGCAAATAGTGATATTTTGACTTCTTCCTTTCCTATTTGTATCCCTTTGACTTCTTTTTGTTGTCTAATTGCTCTGGCTAGGACTTCCAGTACTATATTGAATAGGTAGCGGGAGAGTGGGCAGCCTTGTCTAGTCCCTGATCTTAGTGGGATTGCTTCAAGTTTTTCTTCATTTAGTTTGATGTTGGCTACTGGTTTGCTGTAAATTGCTTTTACTATGTTTAGGTAGGGGCCTTGAATTCCTGATCTTTCCAAGACTTTTTTTTTATCATGAAGGGATGTTGAATTTTGTCAAATGCTTTCTCAGCATCTAGTGAGATGATCATGTGGTTTTTTTCTTTGAGTTTGTTTATATAGTGGATTACATTGATGGATTTCCAAATATTGAACCATTCCTGCATTCCTGGGATAAAACCTACTTGATCATGATGGATTATTGTTTTGATGTGTTCTTGGATTCGGTTTGCTAGAATTTTATTGAGTATTTTTGCATCGATGTTCATAAGGGAGATTGGTCTGAAGTTCTCTTTCTTTGTTGGGTCTTTATGGGGTTTGGTTATGAGTGTAATTGTAGCTTCATAGAATGAATTGGGTAGTTTTCCTTCTGTTTCTATTTTGTGGAATAGTTTGAAGAGAATTGGTATTAGGTCTTCCTTGAAGGTCTGATAGAATTCAGCACTAAAACCATCTGGTCCTGGGCTTTTTTTAGTGGGGAGACTTTTAATGACTGCTGCTATTTCCTTAGGGGTTATGGGACTATTTAGATGGTTTATCTGCTCCTGGTTTAACTTTGGTACCTGGTATCTGTCTAGGAAATTGTCCATTTCATCCAGGTTTTCCAGTTTTGTTGAGTATAGGCCTTTGTAGTAGGATCTGATGATTTGTTTAATTTCTTCAGTTTCTGTTGTTATGTCTCCCATTTCAGTTCTGATTTTATGAATTTGGATACTGTCTCTGTGCCCTCTGGTTAATCTGGCTAACGGTTTATCTATCTTGTTGATTTTCTCAAAGAACCAGCTCCTGGTTTTATTGATATTTTGTATTGTTCTTTCTGTTTCTATTTGGTTGATTTCAGCCCTGAGTTTGATTATTTCCTGCCTTCTACTCCTCCTGGGTGTATTTGCTTCTTTTTGTTCTAGAGCTTTTAGTTGTGCAGTCAAGTTGTTAGTGTGTGCTCTTTCCAGTTTCTTTTTGTAGGCACTTAGAGCTATGAGTTTTCCTCTTAGCACTGCCTTCATGGAGTCCCACAAGTTTTGGTATGATGTGTCCTCATTTTCATTGAATTCTAAAAAGTCTTTAATTTCTTTCTTTATTTCTTCCTTGACCAAGTCATCATTGAGTAGAGAGTTGTTCAGTTTCCATGTGCACGTGGGTTTTCCATTGGTTTTGTCATTGTTAAAGACCAGTCTTAGTCCGTGGTGATCTGATAAGATGCAAGGGATTATTTCAATCTTTTTGTATCTGTAGAGGCCTGTTTTGTGACCAATTATATGGTCTATTTTGGAGAAGGTACCATGAAGTGCTGAGAAAAAGGTATATTCTTTTGTTTTAGGATGAAATGTTCTATAGATGTCTGTTAAGTCCATTTGGTTCATAACTTCTGTTAATGTCAAAGTGTCTCGGTTTAGTTTCTGTTTCCATGATCTGTCCATTGCTGAGAGTGGGATGTTGAAATCCCCCACTATTATTGTGTGTGAGGTGTAATGTGTGTTTTGAGCTTTAGTAAAGTTTCTTTTATGTATGTAGGTGCCCTTGCATTTGGAGCATAGATGTTCAGAATTGAGAGTTCACCTTGGTAGATTTTTCCTTTGATGAGTATGAAGTGTCCTTCCTTATCTTTTTTGATTAATTTTGGATGAAAGTCGATTTTATTTGATATTAGAATGGCTACTCCAGCTTGTTTCTTGGGACCATTGGCTTGGAATATTGTTTTCCACCCTTTTATTCTGAGGTAGTGTCTGTCTTTGTCACTGAGGTGCGTTTCTTGTATGCAGCAAAATTCTGGGTCTTGTTTGTGTATCCAGTCTGATAGTCTGCGTCTTTTTATTGGGGAATTGAGACCATTGATGTTAAGAGATATTAAGGAAAAATGATTGTGGCTTCCTGTTATTTTTGTTATTAGAGGTAAAGTTATGTTTGTATAGTTATCTTCTTTTGGGGTTGTTGGAAGATTACTTCCTTGCTTTTTCTAGGTTGTAGTTTCCCTCCTTGTGTTGGCGTTTTCCATCAATTATCCTTTGAAGTGCTGGGTTTGTGGGAAGATATTGTGCAAATTTGGTTTTGTCATGGAATATCTTGGTTTCACCATCTATAGTGATTGAGAGTTTTGCTGGGTATAGTAATCTGGGCTGGCAATTGTGTTCTCTTAGGGTCTGTATGATGTCAGTCCAGGCTCTTCTGGCTTTTATAGTCTCTGGTGAGAAGTCTGGTGTAATTCTTATAGGTCTGCCTTTATATGTTACTTGACCTTTTTCCCTTACTGCTTTTAGTATTTTTTCTTTGTTTTGTGCATCTGATGTTTTGATTATTATGTGACGGGAGGTATTTCTTTTCTGGTCTAGTCTATTTGGTGTTCTGTAGGCTTCTTGTATGTTTATGGGCATCTTGTTCTTTAGGTTAGGGAAGTTTTCCTCAATAATTTTGTTGAAGATATTTACTGGCCCTTTAATTTGGGAATCTTCATTCTCATCTATACCTATTATCCTTAGGTTTGGTCTTCTCATTGTGTCCTGGATTTCCTGGATGTTTTGAGTTAGGAGTTTTTTGCATTTTGTATTTTCTTTGACAACTGTGTCAATATTTTCTACCGTATCTTCTGCATTTGATATTCTCTCTTCTATCTCTTGTATTCGGTTGGTGATGCTTGCGTCTGTGACTCCTGATCTCTTTCTTAGGTTTTCTATCTCCATGGTTGTCTCCCTTTGAACTTTCTTTATTGTTTCTATTTCCATTTTCAGATCCTGAATGTTTTTGTTTAATTCCTTCTTTGTGTTTTCTTGCATTTCTTTAAGGGATTTCTGTGATTCCTCTTTAAGGGCTTCTATCTGTTTACTTGTACTCTCCTGTATTTCTTTAAGGGAGTTACTTAATTCCTTCTTATAATCCTCTATCATCATCATGAGAAGTGATTTTAATTCTGAATCCTGCTTTTCAGGTGTGATGGGGTGTTCAGGGCTTGCTATATTGGGAGAACTGGGCACTGATGATGCCAAGAAACTTTGGTTTCCGTTGCTTATGTTCTTGCGCTTGCCTTTCGCCATCTGGTTAACTCTAGTGTTACCTGCCCTCACTGTGTAAGACTGGAGTCTGTATTTCCAGTTATCTTGCTTGTTGCAGAGCTCCTCAGAGTCCAGATGTCTCTGTGGTCTTATGCTCCTAATGTCCTGGGTGGAAGAACTCCTGGGACTCAGGCCACCTCTTGGATCTGGAAATCCTTCTGCTCTGGGTGCAGTGGTTCCTCTAGGATGGCTCAGGATATGATGTCTCCCAAGTGCAAACCACCTTGATGTCTGCTGCTCTGAGTGCAGTGGCTCCTCTAGGATGGCTCAGGATTCAGTATCTCCACAGGACAGGAGCAGACCAACTCTGTGTCTGCCCCAGCCCAAAGGCGGTTGGGAGGTTTTTAATAACTATTTCTATTTCCATAGGGATTATGAGACTGTTTAGATAGTTTACCTGATCTTGACTTAACTTTAGTACATGGTATCTGTTTAGAAAATTATCCATTTCATCTAGATTTACCAGTTTTATCTGCTATAGGCTTTTGTAGTAGGTTCTGATGAGTCCCTAGCCATCTGCCTTTTTGAGTCAAGATTTCTGAGTAGTTCAAGATGGACTTGACCTTGTTACGTAGGCTAGGTTGGACTCAAACTGTTGCTCTTCTTTCCACTTTCTCTAAGGTCTAAGATTACAGGCAGATGTTATTACACCTAGTATCTTGGTCTTATGCTTACAAGACCTAGCTTTGATACCATCAGCAACACAAGAGAACTTAAGTATAGCACTGCCCTCACCTTGAGTTTTATGAAGAGAATTTGTGTGGTGCTATTGTACCCTGTAGGAAAAGGCTAACCATGGAAAGGCTTAGTTCAATTTTTGTAATATTCATTTGGGGCAAAGATCAGTAACACTGCTCTGGTTAGAGATCTGTCCTCAGCTAATCTTAGTATCAGCCTAGGTACTGGATCTGCTGTTTATACTGCTGAGTTTGAAATGTTTGTTTTATTTCTACAGGGCGGCGTGGGTCCACACAGAAAATTGAAGACTTAATGGAAATGGTGAAAAAGTTGCAGAAAGGTCATGTGTCTCTTACCATGAGGTTTGAAGTCAGGCAGATGCAGATTCAACTCCAAGCACTGCTATTCACAAAAAAAAAAAAAAAAGAAATTATTTTACTCACATTAACTTTAAAACTTTAAATTGGATGTGTGTGTATAGAGATAGCCCAGTAGTTAAGAGCACTAACTACTCTTGCAAAGGACAGATTTGTTTCCCAGCACTCATATGGTGTCTCACAAGTATTAGTAAGTCCAGTTCTAGGAAATCTGATGCCCTGTAGGTACCAGACACATGTGTGGTACATATACATATGTGCAAGTAAAACACTCACACATATAAAATCAAAATAGATGCTTCTGAACATAAGTTTTAATTTTAAACAAAATTTGGTATGTGTGTGTGTGTATGTATGTATGTATGTATGCAATGTGCATGCTCACACATACCGTGTAATGAAGTCAGAGGCTAGCTTAAGTTCTTTCCTTCTCCTATGTGGGTTCCAGCGATCAAACTCAGATTGTCAGGCTTGGTAGCAAGTGCTTTACCCACTGAACCATCTCACTGGCCCCTTAAATTTTAGTTTCGAACTAAAAAGGGAGCCTTGATGATTTAAAGTTATAGCAGCATGAGAGTGAATAGAAGGCAAAATGTTTTCCCAAAGCCCTGTCCCAGGTCTCCTTTTACTCCACAGCATTCTGTTAGATCCAGAGGTTTTACCCATAATCCTCTTCCACTTTATATCCTGCCACATTCTACTTGATCATATGTATCCTGTTCCTTCTCATTTCCTCCTCAGGGCACCCTCCATTTTACCCAGAGAGCTTGAGGGCCTTCCTTCCTCGATGGAAGGCCCCTGAGACACTTTCTCGTATCTGAAAAGCACTTCTTGACCTTTGCCTATAGACCTCTCCCTTGCTTCATTTCTCTTGACTGAAGTTCCTACAGCTTGACTCAGTGTCTCTATTGGTCTGTTCCTTGTCCCATCAATCCTAGATTGAGACCATAATGTAGCACCTGTATATCTGAGATGCTTAGGAGATTTTTGTGAAGTAAAAGCTGCAGAATCCCAGGCAGACATACTCTATCATCAATGAGCTTTCTTTTTGCTTTGCAGTGGGAAGTCTAGAGCCCCGGATTGAGGTCCTGATTAACCGTATTAATGAGGTTCAGCAAGGTGAGCTCAGTGATTGGCTGCTATCCAGGACCAGCTAGATGTTTTAACAGGCCAGGCCTAGTAAAAAGTGGAAATACAGGGGTCCTTGTTAAAATCTCTGTAGTTATTTCAAGAGAGCATAAATGCAGGGCCCTTCTGCATGTAACTGCCATAGTCAATTGCCTGTGAACACGGCCCTGCTGCCACGTTAGCCTAGCGAGAAGGGCCAGGATTTAGAAAGCCTTATTTCCTTCTTTGTAAAATCTGAGCCCCCTCTAGGTTTTCTTGGGAGAAGACTATGAAATCTCATCATTTGTGCTTGAGGCTGTACTTACCAAATGTTTGTCCTACTCTTTGGCAAAGCAAAAAAGAAAGCCAGTGAGGAGCTTGGAGAGGCCCAGTCTGTCTTGGATAACCTGCAAAAGGAACTGGACTCATGTAAGTTAACTGAGAGTCACTAGAGGTTTCTGTGATGTCTTAGACTTCTAATGTGGTCCCGCAGGCACTTGATAGCCTCACCAGGGCCATGATTCTTCTCCTCATTTCTTCTAGCATTCCCATCTTCTAATAGGAAAGTTGTGGAAATGACTTTGAGGACACTTCTGTCTTGAGTCCTTTGCAGAGATGATCCTCCATGTATTGACCCAGCTAACACAAGTTATTGCCCATACTAGCAGCTGTGTATTATTGGAGAGGTCTTTCTTAGTCATCTTGCAATACCTGATCACATAGCCCTTTTGACTGATGTTGTTTTCCCCAGTCCTAATGACTGTTACATATGGTCATGGATATCGTTTGTGAAAATTAGGGCATGTTGTGTTTACAGGAATGTGGATACCCATAGGGTAGGAACTTACCTCAAGGAAACTACATCTGGTTTAGGGTCACAGTTATACCTTGCCTCTCATATGACTGCCCTTGAGATTTCTGTGTTTGGTTTGGTTTGGTTTCTGAACCTTCATCATCTTTTCTAGTATATGAAGAGAAAGTACGTCTGAAGGATATCTTGAACAGAAAAGAAGGTATTCCCATATTCCCCATTTCTAGGCTTTGTGATGCCCTGTCTAAGCCCACTCTCTCTAGTAGCCAGAAACTTAAGAACTCTCAACCTTATGACATTCCTATGGCTTTTACCAGACCCAGAAAATGTCAAAGTCCACTCAAGTGTCCACAGATTTGACATGATCTGTTTTGTTCCATCTGACAAATTAGATGCCTTAGCAAGCTCTCAGAGGGCTCTGTTGTCCTTACAGAGACCCTGAGGATTATGCAGCTGCACTGCCAGGAGAAGGAAAGTGAAGCACAGAGGTAAGATGTCATGCCTGTAGTGGTCTCCCTAAGCGTTCCTGTCACCTCCCACACTGCCTACTATGTTAGACACAGGCTTCGATTCAGAGGAACAGAATAGAAGCCCCCAGCCCTCCCTCTAGGAGAGTCATTCAAAGAACATGGCTGAGTGTTGGCTTCCTTCCCAGGAAGCACAGCATGTTGCAGGAGTGTAAAGAGAGAATTTCTTTCCTGAACTCCCAGATCGTCAATGAGAAGACCAAACTAAGAAAACTGAGGTAAACCTCAAGGCATGAGGCTTGGGCTGGGGATGTGCTATAGGTATAGTAATGCCCTGGATGGCCAGGCATAGTCCTGGATGATCAAAGGGGTGAAGGTATTCCTTGTGGAAGAGTGGACACAAAGTCTCTGGGTGCTATATAAACTCTGACCTTGGCCAAGCTCTGTGGTAGCTCATGGCCATCATGGCTCTGTGGTTGGCTCCTAGGTTGGATTTTGAAGAACATCTGGAGACTTTGATGAGTCAACATAAGGACACCTTGGAATTTCATGTGAGTCATAAAATGCTGTGCCACTTATTATAATTTTTCCCCTATGTAAGCCTTGGTGTTCCTGCTGTCACTGTAAATCCAGCCTCTGGTGACCACTCTTGAGGTACTTGGTGTTTTCAGTATTGGTCTTTCACATTCACTCATGTTACTGTGTTCATTCAGTGTTCTCTAGGTACTGTGGTAGCACCAAATGGAGTCATCCATTGAGAGTGTCCATGGATGTGTATGAGGCTATCCCAGACACAGTGGAGATATCACAGGATGTGCATGAGGCTATCCCAGACACAGTGGAGATATCACAGGACAAACAGTTGACATTTATTGAGACATTTTTCTATTGGGAGTTCCCAGACACTCAGTAGGAAAATAGGCTGGATATCAGAAGAGAAGGTATCAGGAGATAAGAGGATGCCAGGAGAAGAGAAGAGAGGAAGAAGCACTAATAACTAAATCCCCAGAGAGTGGCTCAGGATTGTAGGTCTGCAGATTTTAGGGTTTTGAATACTTTCCCTTGAACCTCTTTACAGGTTAAAGGTCCGAGGAGAGGGAATGGCAGGGTCAGTATCCCGAGGTTAGGCCATGGCTGGTATATACCAAGGGGCAGGGTACTAGGAAGTGAAACTCACTGAGCAGAGAAATGATTAGATCTACAGGCTTCTCTGAAGCTTGAGGGAGCCAGGAGATCTGGACGTATTTTCTTGTTTGTGCCTCTCCCCACCCCAGAAGCCTGAACATCTGACAGAGGAGATGTGTGTTTTGGACAGCAGCAAGGAGCAGCTGCTTCAGGAAGGTGAGGTCAGGGCAGAAGGGTGGCTCTCACTTGTACCAGCCTGCCCTTACCTGCTTGTTACTCTTTCTCTCTGTAGAGAAACTGATCAAGGTAAAGCTGGAGGATGTGAATCATCGGCTGTGTACCCTGTGTGGGCCTGAGGGGTCTTCCACCCTCACCGAGGGACTCTTCCTCCGAAGCCATGAGGCAGCTGCTGCAATGTAAGATGCAGGGTGGGGCAGGAGAAGGAAATGCCCAGCACTGACTCCTTTCCACACTATCAGGCAGATGTTCAAGAATGAGAATAAGAAAGCTGAGGAGCTCCTAGAGGCTGCAGCTCAGCAGCACCAACAGCTGCAGCAGAGGTGCCACCAGCTACAGCAGAAACGGCAGAGGTAGGCACAGAGCTCCTGTGTCCTCATTTTTCCCAGGAAGATGAATGGCAGTTGTTTCCCCTGTTCTGCCTGTATGTCTCTCATACTTTCTTGATTTTCCTGCTTTTATTCTCTTTGTTCACTCTTCTTCCTTAACAGGCTGAAAGAAGAACTAGAAAAGCATGGGGTACAGATCCTTGCTCAAGCTCAGAGTACGCAAAATGAAGAGGACAGCTCACAGAGGATGGTAAATCTGGGAGCAGAAGGGAAAGGAAAAAAGTGGTATTCTCCAGAGTATAGTCTGTGGAGAGGGCATTCCTACTGTAGGAGGCACAGCTGAAGCAGAGGTGTAAACTTATGGTAGCATGGGCACAGAAACGTGGAAAGGGGGTGGTAGGAGCAAGGAAAAATGCCTGGGCCTTTACCTCCTACAGGCCAATCCTAAGCCCTTAGAAGTCCATGAGGAGACAGTCCACGAGCGCCCATCAAGCAGGACGTAATAACCTTCTCAGCCTGGAGGACATACTAACTCCAAACATCACATGGGGATGTTTTGTGTATCTTTCTTCATCTGAGTATGTGCTGAGTGGAAGAATGGATGTTGGGCCAAGCCTCTTAAGTCTTTGAACCTGGAGACGTCTTGGATCAGTTTTGATTTTCAACTAGCTTAGTGTTCACACTGCAGGCCGTTAGTAAATTCTTTCCCTGTCTCTTGCTCACCACTAATATCTGACACTCTTCTACTCTTGAACAGAAGGATACAGATCTGGACCTTCTCACAGGATCTGAAGCCACTTTGTAGTTTAGTTCCCTCATGTAGGCCCAGAATAACATAGACTTTGAAACAAAAGGAAGATGCATCACCAGTTCTTAATTCTTGCTATAAACCAACCATTCTTCAAGCAAATTAAATGAAATTTGAGTCTGCATGTGGTCTATATTGTTTGTGAGCAATCCCAAACTGTTGCCAGGAACATGCTAAACTAAAAATTCTCTTTTGTTTGGGGAGGACATGAATGAGCAGACCTTCCTCATTCGTCTTTTGTTTGGGGAAGACATGAATGAGCAGACCTTCCTCATTCGTCTTTTGTTTGGGGAAGACATGAATGAGCAGACCTTCCTCATTCGTCTTTGGCTCTGCTGGGTCTTTGTTTGGTTGCCATTAGTTTTGTGGTTTTCCTGGTAAGATGCAAATGAATGTATATTTACCCCAAATATGGAAAGGGACAAAAAGGAAAGAGTCTGTCAAATCTCACTCAGTGAATAAATGAGTTAGCAGGGTGACTTACAGGAGCTATACCTTTTTAAATTCTGCCTCAGTCAGGTTTTGTTTTTCATCTTACAGAATGTAACACTTGGGAATTTAGTGGAATCCTAGAAGAGGATTTTGTAAGGGTCTCCTGAGGGTCTTTTGATACTTCCCTTCCATTCATAAGTGAATGCTAACAGCCCTATTCTTACAGATCTTGATGTCTGCTGTGTAGCTTATTTCATTGCCATGATTCAGGGACAAAGTTTTCTATAGGTTGCCACAGTTACTGTATTTTCAAGATGGCCATGGGCATGGGCATGCCAGGCTTGGAAGAAATATGTACATTAAAAGCAATAGTAAATTCCTTAAGGCCAGACTAATTCTAAAAAATTGTACTCCTGTTTTATTTGTTTCTTTGTTTTGAGACAGAGTCTCATTTTTAGTCCTGGCTGGTTTGGAATTTGCTATACAGACCAGGCTGGCCTCAGACTCACAGAGATCTATCTACCTGCCTTTGCCTACTGAGTGCTGGGTTTAAAGATGTGTGTCACCATGCCTTTTTGCAACTGTATTTGTGAAGTTAATGCTCCTTCCTCAAAAAGACAACCAGACTTGAACCATTTCAAGCTTTACCGCTGAGAGAAGATAGTTGGTGACTGCTGACTAGGTGCCAACCTTAGACAGTGGCCAGATGATGGATGATGCTGCAATTAGTTAATGGCCCCTAGAACTACATGTATTCTGTCTTTCCCTTGTCACTTGAGAATTTCTCTAATGGTAATCTATGAAGTTGAAACATCTCTACCCCAAGGCAGATTTTAAAATTACACTTTTTTCCCTGGAAGCAATCTTGCCATTGTGGAGCTACAACGATCCAAAGCCCTTCAGTGGGGCCACTGTTGTAGTGTCTGTTAACTTTGGGTTTCAGTAGTACTCCAAGGTAGATGAGCTGGAAGGTAAGGGTCAGCATAAAGCTGCTCACATTATAATCCCAAGAACCTATGAGTATGAGACCTATATGGTAAAAGAACTTTGAACATATTGTTAATTCAGTGTCTTGTGTTGGGCAGATAACCAGGGTTATCCATGCATATGCAAACAAATTATTATGAGAAGTCAGGGACAGATAGATTGGAAGATGTTATACTACTGGGTGTGAAATGCTATTCACTCACTGGGAAACTTTCACATGTGCAAGGGGACAAGGGTCTCATTAAATCCACAACTAACATAGTTTATCAATATTTTATTTAGTCTTTTCTGTTTCACTTTATGATAGAAACCCCATATGCTTGGAATTTCTTTCAACAGTTCTATTTTAAGGGATAATGATGGGCAGCAGTGTCAGGCAGTTTCCGGGTCTCATGAACGAGGAATGACACAGAGTTTGAAATGGGGTGGGATACTACCAAATCCAACTGTAATAGGACTGAGGTCGATATCCTTAGGGTCAACCAGAGACTTCAGATTAAAATGCTGCAAAATAGCAGACAAGAGCAGAAACAATTCCATGCGGGCCAGGCCTTCTCCAACACATACACGCTTTCCTAGAAGGGATAACAGTGTTGATGAGGTACTGAGGGACCCAAGCAGAGCTAACACTAAAAACATTGAGGGCTTGGAGGTGTGGGAGGAGGTTTCAAGCACACCATCTAAAGCAGGATCCACCATCCCTACCCATTGGTCCCCGAACACCAGTGCTCATATGTCAGAAAACATGAATGTCGGTGACATTGACTTGGACCAGCAGCTGATACCACTTATTAAGAACTCCACTGCATAAACAAGTGGTATTTTAGGGAAATGGACCCAAAGCGTATTTGCCATAACTTCAGGAAGGTGAGGCTGGCGAAGCCTATGTAAACATAAGCAGTTTAAGTTATCAAATTGGCTGTGGGATCTTCCTTTACAGGAACCCTAGGTGAGGCCCTGCAGTGGGACCATCTGGGGATGCTTCCTAAGAGGAGTCCATGTAGCTAAAGATAAAGTTTAGTGATTTTTTTGAAACTTATGAAGATTAGGTAATACATTTTTGAAAGCTTTTTACTGAGTCTGGTCAGAATAGAAATAGCTGAGCAATTAATTAGAAAACCACGTCCATTCTGTGATAATCCACCCAGAACTCTCATTTCCTGGACTCCTGGTGAAATACACCATTTGACTTTTCTGAACAGGGAGTATGTACTTGGGTTATATCTTACAAGGGCATGATGGAGTTAGGATGGTAGTCCTCATCTAGGATTGGGGAAGAGCACATGGGAAGTAAGTTTAGGATGGAAAAAGACAGTTTCCCAGGGAAGGCATGATTCCTGAACTCTGTTTACCTGCTGAAAATGCCTTGAAATAGTCACTGTACTTGAACTTCCCATTTTCATTCAGAAAATGCTCAGGTTTAAACTTCTCTGGATCTGGAAACTCGTAGCTGTCATATAAAAGTGAGTCCAGAGTTGGAATCACAACTGTACCCTGGAAGAATTAGAAGTTCTATCAGCCAAGTTAACAAAACAGGCTTTCATCTAGAAGACACCAGTGAAGAGGACTGTTGGAATTTTACATATGTAGGCTAGTATATTTCTAATTTGCCATGTTGTTTATTTAAGGACTAAGTAGAAAAGGAGACAGGGATCAGATCAGGTCTAAATGAAAAGGAAGGCCCTATCTCTTTCTTTCATAGGATGGATTCCAGTCTGTGTTGTGCTGCTATGGGATCTCAGTTTTAGAGTGGTCCACAAGTCCTCTGGACCAATTGAGGTGGCATTTTCCATTTCTTTGGTCATGAGGTTATTGGAGTGACTATGGGCGAAGCATTCTGCAGGGGAAGAATGACTGCCGGCTTGATTCCCATATCTAACCATATATGCTGGTCAAAGGTGTCCTTGAGGCTCTACCCTGAAGGGTAACCTAGGTGATAAACTAACAGGACAATGCCCATGGAGTGCTTTCCAACTCATTCCTGACCTTGGGGATGACATATCCTTGGAACTCTGTGTCTCGGGTTGCTTCGTGGGGCAGGTTAGAAGGGACAAGATTGATGAATCTCTGTATCTCATGTACCACAGCATCCATGTAGGGCATATTCATTCTATCTCTGACAGCAGGGACACGGTTTGGCCCAATAACCCTGTCAATTTCTTCATGAAGTTTCTCTGCCAAGAAAAGCATAAGGTCAATCTCAAGGGTTAAATCTAGAGTTGATGTCTACGTACCATCTACCCATATCTATGATCATCTCCGTTTACCTGCTCACCTATGTACCCATGTAACTCACCCACTTTTCTATCCACACACCACTTCATTTACCCACAGGTATAGTACCCTCTACACGCTTACTAACTACTCATTCACCTACTCATCCGTCTAGCCAATGATCCCCCAACAGCTCCATTCACCTACACATCTGTCCAATTCTTCCATCTATCTGCCAAGACATACATTATATGTTTATGAAGCACTTAACCTGCATTTATAATCCCTAAGTACTTTGAATTGTTAAATCATTTCCTTACAAGTATCAGTGAAAGCTAAGACCTGTGAGATTATTCACAGTTGACAGGAAGTTTGGGGGTCTATTGTCATAGTTGGAGATACTTTTTCCAATCTCTTTATATCAGGAGTAGAGATAAAAGGATCTTGGAAAATTCTTCTTAGAGGAAAATCTTTGCATTATTACTCTAGGACAATTTACTGTTGTTAAAAATAGGAAGATAAACTAGACTAAAAATAGGTGATAAACTAGACTATAGTTAATGAAATCTAATTATCCCCATGATTATGACAGAGGGAACAGCAACCTTTGTTAAGTTCCTTGGTCTTTCTGTGTTTGGGATTTACTATGGAACTTTATAATATGTGGAGTGAAAAAAAAGCAAGTTGCAATAAGTTGTGTATGGTATGGTATAAAGCATGGATAAACTAAAGTAGTATTAGTTATGTGTTGATATTTAGTTAACATTAAATGTCCAGTCACATGGGCATGCTACATAGTGGACCCAAAGCATCACCGTATCTGGCGAGTGAGACAGGGACGTGTGGGTTAGTGGGGCTCTAGCTAGTAGATACCTCATTTTTTTTAATAGCTCTGAAGCAAACATCGCAAAATGTCAATAGTTGTTCAATTTGGTAATTGAATTATAGATTGATGTAATTGATGTATAGATTGATGTAATTGATGTATAGATTGATGTAATTGAATTATAGATTGATGTAATTGATGTATAGATGCCGGTCACATTTACTTACTCCTTGCCTATATTAGAAATTCATTATATTAATAATTTAAAACATTTAAAAATTTATGTTTCCCAAGCACAATAATAAAAGTTCTAACTACTGTAATTTGTACATTTCCCTCCCTGGACTTTAGTCACTTCTCTTTTTTTTTTTCTGTGTGGTGTGGAAAGTCAAAGGCATTGCTGACAGGAAGGTCAGAGCTCAGATCTTGTCCCTGGACCAGACAGACACACAATCATGTTCTTGGGAAACATTACTTTGTATGTAGTAGCTGCCCAGATCTATGCCCAGCTCAGAGAATGGCAGGCTTTCAGGCTTTTGAGTACCTTCACCTTAGGTTGTCAACCCCCTCAGTTTCTCTACTAAAGGTGAGCCCCAGTGACTTACATGTAGGGGTTATCACACTTCCTCTATTCGGTAAATGTATGTATGACCCTCTGCATAGTG